TACCGGAATTTAAGCCTAAGTTTATTTAAATCCAACACTTATGTATTATTCATCTCACAATCTGTGGTAGTTAAGTTTGTGTGTCAACTTGGCTGGGCCTGGTTGAGTGGCTAGGCAGCTGGATGTAGTTATTCCCCACGGTCCCACATTTTTATTCACATTAAATTTCAAAACTGACCAAATTTTCTCTCTCAGCAATACCATTCCTTGAATGCTTCCTATATGGCAGGTGTGCTAGGCTGGGTTCTCTAGAGAAGTAAAACATATATATATAGAGAGAAAAATTAATCTTAGGAAAATGGTTCACATTGTGAGATAACGCATTGTCTACCTTGAAAATGTTGAGAGACTGATTCTTTGCTTTTCCTTTTCAACACAGGGCTAGTATAGAATCTCCTAATATCTTTCCAGGTTTCCACACAAATAAGGTAAATAAAGGTGGGGAGAGATACTCCATTTTCCTTAATTCAGCCAGAAGTTTATTCAAGCTCCCACCTTGCTAAATATCATCTTAAATCACTATTCTATCATGAGCCCTTTACCTGACTACTGTCAAAGGCTAGAAGTCAGACAGTTACTGAACATGGATTTTTTCATGAGACCACATCCAGCAACCACCCTACCTCTAGCAGCTTATAGTGGTCTCTCTCACTGTATTTCCACATTAAAAAGCTTTCTGTTTGACTTTCCCACTTTATGACTTGTCAGCTTACAGAAGCTGGCAAGTCCCAAGTTCCTGGATCAAACATCAAGCTGGAGGCTTTTCTTCACTCAGACAGCTGCTGACTGCTGAGACTGATAAGCTCAAGGTTGACAAATAAAAAGGTACAGTTTCAGTGTTACCAAACAACATGGCAGATCACTAATCCAAGTCCAGATAAAGTCCCAAAATCAGCAGGGCATGGCAGGCTGTTGAACAGTGACTTGGCTATATGCAAGGTTCAAAAGCATGACAAAAGGCTAGAGACCAGTCCCAAAGCTGTTTCTTATATATGGGAAGCAGACCATATTCCTAAAGCAGTTACTCAGCTGCTTTAATGGATTCCACCATGGTTTGTTAAGGTCATCCTATTTGTGGTATAATCCTGTCAGAGAGGCACTAGGTAACCAAAACAGAATATGGCACCAGGAGAGTGGGGTGCTGCTCTGACAGATACTAAAATGTGGAAACAGGAGTGGAGTGTGTCCTTGACCTGAGACCCTGGCAGAGAGACCCCAGCATGCGGCATGAGAGAGGGCAGGAGCAGAGCCAAGAGAACCGACATGAGACAACAACAGCTTTACTAGCCCAGGGAGGAGAAAGCTGGATGCCATTGGGTAGGCAGCTTCCTGGCAGAGTAGGTTGCCTTTGGGCATTAATTGGTAGAAGAGACGCACATGAAATGGAGTAGCAGGTTGGCTGGCCCATGGAGCAAGAAAGTTGAGTGCTTTTTGGGCAGGAAGTTTTATGGCAGAGTGGGTTGCCTTCAGCATTAATTGGCAGAAGTGGAAAGACCAAGGAAATGGAAAGTAGAGCTGCCTCAGCCTTAAAGGTAAGACCATGGCCTTTGGGGGTGGAACCACCACAGCCCCTAGGTTTCAAAGAGCCAGACCTTCACCAACTTGGTTCTAGAGAGGGGGGCTGCTTGTTCATGCAGCCAGTGGGATGGAGACATAGACACTGCCCAAGAGTGAAGGGGCAGGGCTACCATGCCCAAGAGGCAGAGGAACGGTGCCCATCAGGCAAAGGGGGTGAGGTCACCACGCAGGAACTAGGGGACTGGGGCCACGCAGTGAAGGAGTTCTGTACAGATGCCACCCATTGAAGAGCTGTACAGGTGCCAAGTTGACAAGGGGTGGAATTGTGGTAGTTAAGTTTGTGTGTCAACTTGGCTGGGCCTGGTTGAGTAGCTAGGCAGCTTGATATAGTTATTCCCCATGGTGAGATTGGTAATTAACTCCATAGTGGAATCTATTGAAGCAGCTGAGTAGCTGCTTTAGGGATGTGATCCGCTTCCCATATATAAGAAACAGCTTTGGAAATGGTCTCTAGCCTTTTGGTACGGTTGAACACTGCACGTAGCCAAGTTGTTCAACAGCCTGCCATGCCCTCCCAATCTTGGGATTTCATCTTGACTTGAATTAGTGGCCTGCCATGTTGTTCGGTAACATTTGGACTGTGCCTTTTTATTTGTCAACCTTGGGCTTGTCAGTCTCAGCAGCCAGCAGTTGTCTGAGTGAAGAAAAGCCTCCAGCTTCAGTGGGCCTGGAACAGGACACAGAGCTGAAGCCCAAGGTTGAGGGGCTTTGACCCAACCTCTAGAGTCTGGCACTTTGAACTCAGACTTACGGCCTCCAAACTGTAAGAGAATAAACTCCTTGTTTGTTTGAGCCATCCATTCATGGTTATTTCTGTTAGAGTGGCACTAGGTAACCAAAACACACTCCATAACTGAAAATAAATCTGAATCTGCTAAAGAAAAGGAAAATGATTTGGTTCTTCATTTTTTTAAGCAGAAAAGTGATGTTAAACATTAGCATTACAAAGGTACAAAAACATTTGAAAAAATTCTTGCTGTACAATAAGTTATGCAGCAATGCCTGTCACAGGCACTTTAAAAAAAAATGGCACAGAAGAGCAACAGGCTTATTTGTATTTCTTTCTGAAGATCTGCTACATTTGATGGCACTGGTAAGTCTTTCCATTGGAGACTTTCTGTTTGTGTGTACTTGCTCCTCCATGAATCTCTGAGGCTACCTGGGGATTGTTGTGGTTAGTTGCCCTGGATTCAATTCTGACTCATAGTGACTGGTGATCCTCTCTGTGCAGAGTAGAACTGCTCCATACAATTTTCAAGTTTGTGACCTTTCACAAGTTGATTGCCAGGCCTCACTTGCAAAGTGCCTATGGGTGGGTTTGAACCACCAACCTTTTGATCTGTAGTCAAGAGCTTAACCATTTGTACCACACAAGGATTTCTTAGACAGGGATATTTCAGCAAATTTCCTCATGATTGATGTGGCCACAAAGTGTGCTGCTATGAGACTGGTTGCCTAATGTAGGCAGTTGAAGGGAGGAAGGAAGGAAAAAAGGAATCAAAGAGTCTAGTCAATCACTGCTTTTCCCATAATTACCTCAAACAACAAACTCTCTGTGTAGACCCTGCAGGGGGAGTTTTCCAACCTTTTTGAAAGAAGGGCTTTATTTTCATTCTTATGAAGTCTTGAAATCACTAAGAGTAGAGGAAGCCAACTATAAAACACCTCAGTGGTGCTGGGGAGGAGGCACCTCTGCTGGCTAAGTTTTATTTCCTAACTGGAAAGCAATAGAACTAAACAAACAAACAAACAAAAAAAAAACAAACTCACTGCCAAGAAGTTGTATCCAACTCATAGCAACTCCTCCTTAAGTTTCCAAGGCAGTATCACTTGGGAGCTCTGGTAGCGTAGTGCCTAAGGCACTTGACTGCTAACCAGAAGGCTGGTGGTTCAAACCCACCAGCCACTCCTCTGAAGGAGGATGGGGCAATCTACTTCCGTAGTGATACTGCCTCAGAAACCCAAGGAGGGGTCGCTATGAGTTGGATCCAACTCGACGGCACATAACAACAACAACAACAACAACATCACTAGGGAAGTAGATTGCCCAGTCTTCCTTCTGAGGCATGGCTGGTGGGTTTGAACTGCCAGCCTTCTGGTTAGCAGTCAAATGCCTTAGGCACTACACCACAAGAGCTCCCAAATTATAATCTATTTGTTCCTAATTAATTTTCAGTAGAGATTTTAAGGTCATTTTTAGTTCATCTTCAGCTACTTCCAGACATTAATTCCTTTTCTCTTATTTTTAAAGTTTGGTAGTGATCTACCCTTTAGTGAATCTTCTCTTAGTTATTGTAATTGATACCTGTCTCCAATCTAATACAACCAAAGCTACCAAACTACTTACTGTAACTGTGATGTCCAGAGAATGTCTCCAGAAAAACAATATGCTGTCATTTTTCTGGAGTGACCAGAACATCTTTGCCTTCCAAATGGACTGCTCTAATTTTTCCATTGGGATAGAGGTATGATGTATTTTAAGTTCTAAAAATACTTATGTGCAGGATGATCTACCACAAAGACCCCTGGTCTTGGGTTCTTGCCTTGGTATTACTCTATCTGGAGCAGATCACATTATCTCTACATTTTCTTTCCCTCATTTGAAAAAATAAAATAAAGGGAGAGGGGGTAGGAAGAAAGAATAATGATACTTACCCTATCTATCCCATAGTGTGGCTGTGAGGATCAAATAAATCCACAGATAGAAATATTTTGACTATATAAGTAGTTGTATGTTTAGAATTTAAGATCCCTTCAGAAAGTTACAAAAGGAAACCTCTGGTAGGTTGCTAGAATCCAGTTTCTTAAACGGAATACAAAGAATTATCTAGCTCCTTCCAGGGCTAGAAACCCTGTCCCACATCAAGTGTACAATGGGGCTTTCAGACAACCCTAAGAAGAGAGACTGGGACTGATAAACAATGTTCCTGCTTTCACTGGGGGAAATATAAACCAAAGGGACCCACTTCACTCTTTAATCATAAGTTATTTCCTCTTCAGGGCTATTAAGAGTGCCCTGAAGTAGCCACTTTCACAGAGGATGAGACTGTGAGCTCTCATCTTTGAGTTACATATTTGCTAATTCAAAATATTCAACAAATGTTAAACATATCCCTTCAAAACTCAAGAAAAGAGTTTCTATGAGCCTGATACTCAGATAACCAACACCAGGGAAGCAAATGAGTCCCTGCCTGAGACAGCAGGGAAATTCCAAAATAGAATCCTGTAATCCTTGTCTTGCCTGGTAGTATTCAATCTTTGCACTCTCCATAAAAGAATGCCATTGAAACAGCCAAGCATACCAACATTGATTGCATGCTCTTTTTATCTGAAAATGTCCTTGTTCTAATTCCTCTTCCACAAGCCCCGCAGCCTTACACAGTCCTTTCTTATCCTTTATCTCATAACTCTGACAAACTTACCCAGCGATATTTTTTCCAGCAGGTAGAGATAGCTCTGAAAGAAGTCATTGCGAATAGCTTTGTGAAGGATAAAGGACATGCTATGTCGACAGAGTTCATCATCGGTCTTATGCCAGCGAGATCTAAAGGCAAAATGGGCTCCCAGGTGGGCCATGGTGAAAGAAGAAGATAATTATTCCTACAAGGAAAGAGGCTTGTCTGGCTATTTCTTTGAATTACCCTTCTCTTCCTACTTGAACTTGAGACTGTCATTTTAAACTAGTCCCCTGTCCATCTATATCAGGACAGGACAAGCTGTCATTGGGTATGGGGGAAGGGGGAGCAAACTTGGTCTGAGCAGACAAGGTCAAGCTCTTGGCACATCCACTGGTCTGATTGCTTGGGTGACACCATTCCAAGCCAGCAGGTGCTAAGTAAAGATAAAAACAGGCTGAGTGAGCTCCTGCTTCATCCAGGAAAAAGCACCCCTGCCTCCCTCCTTTTACTGCCATGTCAAACAGGCATGAGCACACCCTGCTAACACCCTGAAAAGCTGCTTTAATTTGATGCCTAAATTGGACTCGCCTAATTTCCATTTCAAAGGGTTGTGAATATTTTGCAGGAGATCCTATTGCCTGATTTCCATCACTCCTCTGGAACACTGAATCCTCAAGTTACAAGGACCCTTCAAAGTCATCTTAGCCATCCACACCACTTTCATCAATGCAACTTCACCCAAATCATTTCATAAAGATGGATGTGTGTTTCACATTTTGACGAATCTTCAAGAGAAGTAATTCTTTGAAAATCTGTTTTGATGTTAAATATGCTCTTTGTCAGTAAACTGTTCCATCTAGCTTGCTCTATACAACACTTAGTCTTGTACGGCTGTTTCTTCCTCTGCAAATTGTGGATATGATTTTCCTCTTAAGTATACATTTGGTGTGTACTAGATATCTTCTGATTGCTCGTCCAGATCCATTCCCCACTCTTTCCACCCTACTCTGTGTTCCAGGAGCTCTGGTGATGTAGTGGGTAAGGCATTTGGCTGCTAACCAGAAGGCTGGTGGTTCAAGCCCACCAGCTGCTCCATGGGAGGAAGATGAGGCAATCTACTTCCATAAAGAATTTACAGCCTTGGAAACCCTATGGGGGTGGCTATGAGTTGGAACTGACTCAATTGCAGTGGGTTTGGTTTTGGTCTGTGCTCCAGGAGGTTGACCGGTATTGATTATATCACTGGACTTCTTTGCCCTCTGGCTTCCAGTTGAATTCAGTCCATGAAGTGTCAGCAGGAGATTGGAGAAGAATGAGGTCAAGATATCTTGGCACCTTTCCTGTTTAGACTGACTGCATTCTTTAAAAGAAGAAAATGGTACCTCCCATCAGGGGGTCTTCTCATACAGATAGCCTCTCCTGGCTCTGATAAGTCTCTCCTCCCCTTACTGCTTCAGACCTTCCCGTTGAACATTACATCAAGTTGGACTCATGGCGACCTCATGTGTGTCAGAGTAGAACTGTAATCTGTAGGATTTTCAATGGCTAATTTTTTTTCAGAAGTATATTTCTAGGCCTTTCTTCAAGGTGCCTCTAGGTGGACTGGAACCTCCAATTTTTTGGTGAGCATCTAAGCATAACTATTTGCATCACCCAGGGCCTCCCACTTCAGACCTAGAAATAGTGATATGCCTGGCTGCCTCGAAGTAATGACCTATATTGTGATTTCCTTATTCCTGCTGTGTTGATTGAATAGTGTCCACCAAGAAAGATGTCTTATAGTCCCTAGCACTTGTGTCTGTGAATGTGTCCCCATTTGGAAATAGGTTTTTTATTATGTGAATGAGGTTATATACCACAGTATGGTGGATCCTAAACCTAATCTCTTCTGAGTGATGTCTTATAAAAAGGAAAAACAGCCACATGGTGGGAGATGCCATATGACAACAGAGGCAGATGCATCTACAGGCAGCAAAAGAACATCAAGAATTTCCAGCAACCATCAGAAACTGGGAGAGCAGCTTACAGAAGAGATCAATATGGCTAAGACCCCGATTTGAATTTTGGTCTCCAAAACTGTGAGAAAATAAATTTCTGCTGTTTAAAGCCACCCACTTTATGGTATTTTGTTATGGCAACACTAGGAAACTAAGATACTTGCTCACATCTTTGTAAATAATCCTTTTATTAAGCTGGCCTCAAATTCCCAGTTTGTGAATGCCACATTTCCTCAGACAACATGACTATAGTTTCACCCCTCTAATGTTCCTAACCTGGGACCTCTGGTGGCCTAGTGCCTAAGATATTTAACAGCTAACCAGAAGGCTGGTGGGTTTGGACCACCAGCCATTCCTCAGAAGGAAGACTGGGCAATCTACTTCAGTAGAGATACCGCCATGGAAACCCAAGGAGGGGCTGCTATGAGTGGGAACCGACTTGATGGCAGCGAGTTTGGTTTATTTATTTTTTTAATGTTTCCAACAGGAAAATGAGTAAGAATTTAATACACTATCGATATCATGTGTAACCACCGTGCCCCAAATATCCCCACTCACACACACACACCCTGCACAAATACATAATGGTAGGCAGCTTCTAACATGGTTCCTAATATTTCCTGCTTGATAGTCATGCCCTTGTGTAATTCCTTCTCCTTAGTTGTGGGCTGGACTTACTGACTGATCTCTAAAAAAAATAAGATGTGGCAGAAGTGATAAGATGTCACTTCTAAGATTGTTGTCATTGTTATGTGCCATCAAGTCGGAGGCAGTATCACTATGGAAGTAGACTGCCCAACCTTCCTTCCAAGGAGTGGCTGGTGGGTTTGAACCACCAGCCTTCTGGTTAGCAGTCAAGTGCCTTAAGCACAACACTAGCAGAGCTCCTTCTAAGATTATTTTATAAAAAAAAAAACTGTGTGTCCTCTTTCACTCTCTGGTTTGCTTGCTCTGCAGGAAGCCAGCTGCCATATTGCAAGTCTCCCTGAGGAGAGGCCCACATGGCAAGGAACTGAGAGAGGTCTCCAACCAGCAGCTAGGTAAGAATTAATGTTCTCAGTCCAACAAACCATAAGGAACTGAATCTTGTCAACAACCACATAAGTGAGCTTGAAATCAGATCCTCCCTAATCAACAGATTAACTGCACCCTCCTGAGACACCCTGAGCCAGCTGAGCCATACCCAAACTACTTATCTACAGAGACTCAGGTAATGTGTTTGCTTTTTGAAGCAGCTAAATTTCAGAGTAGTTTTTTACAAGACAGCAATAGGTAACTAATTAATACATCAATAGCGTTTTTTTTTTTTTTTTTTTTTTAAGATACAGAATTTAACCATGGTCTTTTTTTAAGTCTCATTTGTGTGTTAGTTATATTTTACTAAGGAGCATTGATAGTGCTTGGCTACTAACCAAAAGATTGGCAGTTCAAAGCCCCTAGTCACTGGGTGGGAGAAAGATGAGGCAGTCTGCTTCTGTAAAGATCTGTAGCCTTGGAAACCCACTGAGCAGTTCTACTCTGTCCTATAATGGTCCAGTGGGTCAGAATCTACTCCTTGGCAGTAGGTTTATGTTTTTCTGGTTGTTAGGAAAGAATGAATTCCTTTTGCTTTCTGATTTGTTTACCTTCACCTTCTTATGCTTTTGTTTTCACATTTTCCCTCCCCCATCTCTAGTGGCAGCCATTTGATTTGGGTGGGATTGTTCCCCAACCCTGGCCTCGGAGATTGTTAAGATTGCAATCAGGGTTATGTCATTTCCCATTACCACTGCTTTTGGTTCTTGGATGTGTACGTCATCCAGTCCTAAGCCAATCCATACACGATGTTTCCCCAGCTATAGTTTTCATTTAGAAGTGGGTACCTGATCAAAGTTTGATACTGTTAATGCCAGCCTGAGTTGAGTTTTCTGTGCTAGCAGCATAGAGTCTTACCTAACACAAATACCTCCTTGCCTCCTTTTTTACATAAATCCTCTTGAGGATGGAGATAAAGCAGGTGATATCAAACAGAACAGAAAAACTTCAAGTGGTAGTGTTCCATGATGTTAAGAAAGATGACTCTTAACTGGAATCAAAATGATCTGACTGAATTAGAAACTCATTTCTATCACTGGGTAACCTTGACAAATTACATAGTCTCTCTGACCCTCAGTTTCCTTCTCTGTAATATGAAACTGATGATAATAATGTAGACCTCCTATGATCATTATGAAGATTAAATGAAATATTCCATGGAAAATACCACAGTGCTTGGCACAAAATACATTAATAAATGCTAATGATTATCACTATAGAGTTCCTGAGTAGTACAAATGGTTAATTCACTCAGCTTCTAACTGAAAGTTTAGTCTACCCAGAAATATCTTGGAAGAAAGTCCTGGTGATCTACTTCCAGAAAAATCATCCATTAAAAAACCCTCTGGAGTATAGTTCTACTCTGACACATATGGGATTGCCATGAGTCAAGTTGACTCTATGGCAAGTGTTACTATCAATACAATCTTTGGAAGAAAGCTGAGGCTAAGTCACAGGTCCTGAAAACAATTCTCATCTATCCAGGTCTTCTTGAGCTATATTTAGTGTTATGCTATATCTTATTGTGCAATTTCACCACATATCTAGAAGAGTATTTGTACACCATGAAATTAAGAGTTGAAGAGAAAAGCTCAGTTTGTCCTTAGAATCTTCTGCTGCTATAGGGAAAACGAAGTAGCAGCAGAAAGAAGAAAGCTAATGGAAAACTAACTTGTATTAGTCGACATATCTAACAAGAGTCAGGTTCTTAACCCCAACATCTTAGTAATGTTTTGATAACCCCACATGAGCTGAAAAGGTCAGAATGTTTGCTCCTGGGAGAGGTCTTGGCAAGCCACTCAGTCTTCCTTATTTGGCAATTTCTATTGGCAAGTTTTTCAGTTTTAACAGAACTGATTTTCTTCTACCATACAGTGAACAGTAGTTATTTATGTTTGGGGAAGGATAATTAAGTGCCCTAAGATCTCTACATTTCAGATCCATAATTCCTGAGTGGGGATGAAAGACTGATTGGTTTATACAAAATGCTTTTGTCAGAGTTTGTTTATCTCTGTGGGTCACATTAGATTTTGTGAATATTTCTCATTCTGCTATAGCTTAAACCAGTTTCTGGCTCATTGCGTTTGTTTCCTTATGCCAATAATTTTTCTTTCACACTTGAAATGCTCTATTTGTTACCACCTCACACCACTCTTGACCATGTTCA